TTTTTTGCGAATGAAAATGAACATCGGTACAGAGTTTTGTAATAGTGATCTCTAACTTTCTGATCCGTGATTTTCTATCATTATTTTAGTATGTAGAACCACCCGTAAAAGGTTCCTAACGCATCTTCCGAACACCCTGTATATCATTTATTAGTGTTTAGTGAAAAGGCCCTTCAAGTATCAAAGCTGAGTTATTGGAGTTTTTTAGCTCGCACAATTTTTGAGAGGAAAAATTTATACGCCCCGCAAATTTGGCAAGTTGGTTATTAGTTATAGATTATTCCAAGTTACCCCCCAAGTTATTCATAGATTTCGAGAAGGAACGCGGCGATCAAATGCAACTAAGGCAATTTGTCGTAAAAACTGTTTCATTCCATTGCATACATGTAGGTTTTCTTTAGTATTAAGCCTTGAGAAAGACGAAATATATCTGAACGTTGTAGATGGTTTTCCTAGTTGAGGAAAACCCATTTTCCTGCATAACATTTCAAACCTCTCTAGTGATGTTTCATATATCAATTTGAGCTCAGAGTGTGTAAAACGAACATTTGCGTTGTGCAGTCTTCAGGGCGATAGTCAAGAGCTAATGCCGCCTACGCCACCCCCTCGGAGGGTTTCGCCCCCTGGGGCGCTTCATCAGCAGTCTCCTAACGGTGGCTTTACTCGTATTGCAAGTGGCCTCAAGCTCGCGCAAGCACAAGCGATGGCAGTAGCAGGGTTTCTTCCCGCTCCACCTGATTGGCCTTGCGAACATGGATCAGGCTCCGATCTACTCCCTCAGCAACACTTGGACTTCGTGCCAAGAACGGAAGAGCGGCATGCGCGTTGCTGTCTCCTAAATCACAGGGCTTCCTTCCACGGCCGAGGTTAGCCGATCCTATCTCCCAATTGTACCAACTAAAGAAATACAAATTGTACTCCAGTCAATACAAACCAAATCAAATAAGGATCTGTATTTCTCTAGTTTTTAAATGTTGCTAAGTGTCTGCATGAGGAAATTCACAGAAAAGGGTATAGTATATCAAAAGAGGTAGACTTTCGACGCCATTCCTTGAAACTAACGGGGGTTTTAGGTCATCGTTCGGTAGAATTTCTTCCTGACGTTTCGCAAGCACGAGTGGCTTGCATCTTCAGAAGTGGTTTGCTTGAACGCTTACACTGTTCTCATCAGA